AAACATATTAAAACTGAGCTATGGAGTTCAGCATGGGTGATCAGGAAGTCTCTACAGTCCTCAGAGCAATAGGCAGGAGTAGACCGAATGATTGAGCTTCTGGTAGTCACAGAACAGGCAGTAATGCTGAAATCTGCTCTCGGTCTGTACACAACCACCACAGCGTGACAAACCCCCCACCTCTTGCGCTATCTCCGTGCTCTTTTGGGCCGCGCCGCAGCCAAACTAGTAGATGCAGCTGTGTTATAGTGGGGACGGCAGTGTCTGTTGGACTCGTGAGGCAGGGGACACTGCCCCCGCCACTTTAACACAGCTGCATCTACTAGTTTGGCTGTGGCTCGGCCGAAAACAGAGAGGAGATGACGCACACAGCTGCCTCTCCTTCAGTGGCGACTCTAGGAACAATATATGGGGGATCACATAAGATACCACAGTCAAATCTGGGGGGGCACTAATAATTTTAATTGCATGACGCAACCGATGGGTGCCGAGAGCTGATTTAATTGTGGATGGCATCTGTGCCCCGCGGTTGCGACATGTAGTCCAACGCCGCCCACAATCCTGAATACCGCAACCGCCAGGCGCCGATGCCATCCGCAATTAAATCAGCTCTCGGAGCCCGGCAGGTGAAGAATACAGCAGGGGCTAACTGGCAACTTTTAGCCAAGGGGCAAGTACAACCCAGAGGCCCATGATGCAGCAACTTGGCCCCCCTCCCACTTTGCCTCTTCCCCCACCTTCTCCCCACCCCTGCCTGCCACTTTTACCATGCATGTAACGCTAGTGTGAAGGGTCGGGTGATGTGAGGACTCCTAGTAAGTCCATGAAACGGGTGACTGGCCGGGGGATGGTGCTCTCCTCCCACTGGGCTCCCTACATAGTTCTGGCCTTACTCCACTCCATGCCCGGTACTTAGGCACTCTCACCCACTGTAGACCGCCGCTGGCTGTCCATGCTTCTGGGCTGTGAGCTGTGAGCTGTGTGAGGATAGTGGGAGGGGCCGGACAGTGTCAAAGTCAGTGTTCTATAATTTTTCTCGACCTTATACATTTTCTCGACTGTGTCATTTCCAGTGGGGCCGCGTCATCCGAGTCAGGTGTTTTCATGACCCCCTTTCTTCATGACATGCGCACCTGGAAGAGATGCGGTAGAGAAATTTATGGGTTGAGGAAAATGATAGCACACTGGTAGTGGAGGGATGCCTCGTCAGTGCTGTGCGCGTGTACGACTGCTGCGACCCTGGTAATTCTGCCACTATCTCCAAGCTGTAGAGGGACTACAAATCTCAGCACATTATACAGCAATGCAGAATAATATCACCAGCTATAGAGGAGTATAAATCTCAGAACTACATTGTACAGCAATGCAGAATGGCATTGGCTATATAGAACTACAATTCTAAGCAATACATTACACAACAATGCAAAATACCATCAGTTATAGAGGACTATAAATCCCAGCAATACATTATACAGCAATGAAGAATACCAACAGCTATAGAGGACTACAGATCCCAGCAATACCATTATACAGCAATGCAGAATGGCATCAGCTATCACTGTGGAGGGTCGCCCGCTGGGGCCTCCCGAGGCCCCCCTTGAGGAGCGAGTGGCCGCCGATTATAGAGCCACATCTAATGTGGGCGGGCTGGTCGGTGCAGGTGGCGGCAGATGGAGGGGTGCCGGTGACGGGCCCCCTGACGGCCGCGGGCCTTCGGGGCAGTGCCTGAATGGTCAGTCCGCCCCTGGACTGTGCAAAGATTCTATCACATAATGGGATTCCAGTAAACACAATAAATCCCTAGGGGTTGTGATTAATGTAAACTTGCAAAACACAAATGTTGCTGTTCATTTTAGAGAAAGAGCTTTTAAAACCAAAGATTCAAGGCCAGAAACACTGCTTATATACCAACAGGATGTCATATCACTGCTGAGAAAAAGGGACAATCTCATGGACAAAAATATCCAAAAGAACCAAACCTTCTAAACCTAGGACTGTCCCTGGAGGTCAGAGGCCGTTGTCAGGCATTACGTTGGAAGAAGTTTTACTTGAAATAGAATTATTCTGAAAGCAAAAAATGTTTACCATGTTTCTGATGACATAGGGACGTAGGGTTACTGATGAGCTTCAAAGTCAACTTACTTTGCTCAATTACTGTGCAATACACTGTTATAATTGTACAGTTAATACCAACACATTATTATAATGCTTTTATACATTTTACATATCAGTTTTACACACAGCATATGTAGTGATTACTGTACAAATGTCATATATCCTGTACATGTTCCAGGTCTCACTATCATTAGTAATATTGTACAAATTACATATCTAGGCGGTAATCCCATGATTGTCATGATTGTTTGTTTCTTGGGTATTTTAACTTTTGTTGTGCGGATAAGGTTACACTTTTTGATATATACATTTGATTGGAGGAGATATATTTATTTATCTATTACCTTTTATTTATAAACTTAT